GGTGAAATGATGTTCTTTCCACTTCTGAATTATGGCCCCAACAGTGCTCACTGGAACCTTCAGAAGTTTCTTTGTATGTATGGATCACTTGGGTTGTTACCAACATCTGGTGAAAATTTCATGTCATTAGCACCTCTAGTAATATATTTACTGAGAAAAATGGTGACGTGTTCAGTACTTATTTTACCTGCTGTATCTCATAAACCACTAAAAGGATTTTAATCAAACTTTGAGGAAATGATCGTTGGATGTACGTCTACACCTGATTTACTTTTGGAGTCAACCCATTTCAAGATGACCGCCAGAGTCAGGCAATAATAGAAAACAATTAAAACACTCCAAACCTGTCAAATGTTTTAGAGTTTGATATAAAATTAAATGTGCTGTTAGCTGAGTAATTCACATCACAAACTCCAAATGTTACTTTTTTGGCAACGACTTTATTTAAAACTTTGGCACTAACTCGACGCTGTCTATCAGTAAAAATATAAAAATAAATAAATAATTATAATATTGTGTCTCATTTACGTTGTTGTAGCATTTCTTTGTGTGTCGTGATGGGATTCATTTATTCACATTTGTCTCATCTTTATATAACAATTCAACGTTTCTCTGTAAGTGTGGAGTATCTTTTTGTTGTTCCGTGTGGTTGCATGTTTCRCTCCTCTTTTTATCCCACAGTGGTCATTTTTTAATTTTATTTATTTATTTTTATTTAACCAGATGGTTTAAGAGACGTTGAACTGAAAAAACAAAACGAAACAAAAAACAACAGAACCGCAGTCTGCAGGACCTCCCATAAACAACTCACGGGACACAAAGGCCCAAACGACACACAGGAAGGACGGGCGGCTCAGTGATTCTCAGGTCTTTTAACGACCTTATTCATGTGAAAGTCTCAACAAAGGAACCCCCGACTCTCATTGTCCAACTGAAGATAAAGGCTGAAACCTGTTCGAGCTCAAGGACTGCCCCCGTTCCCTCACTTTTGTCACGGCTAATGAGCTTTCATCTGATTCTTTTCTATTTAAATTCGCTGCTTATCTCTTGCAGGAACAAAGTACGTCTCAGGTACTAGAGGGGCCGTCACGCGATGATGATTTGTATCAGCTGCTTCAAATGAAAAATAAAGGTGGGCTTGTTACACCCTCACAAGGTGTAATACACCTTTTAACTGCTGCAGAAAAAGGCATCAGGCTTTTCATGAACATACAATGCAACAAATATCTGCTCCCGACACACAGTGTTGGTCTATGTAAAAAATGAATGTGGGGATATCGATCCATTGTGCCTCAGAAAACATATAGTGGAGTCCCAATATGGACAACCATTACTTTGACCTCATCCAACTCCTGGTGAACAGTTACACCATCAGGCAGAAACATGTTGCCAGATTACACAGCTTTAAAAAAAAGAGTCCTGTTCGTCAGAAACTGACTAAGCTCGGTCTCTTCAAAGACCAATAATTAAACAACACAGAAAAAAATAAAGTAAAGTACAAAATAACTATGGACTAGCATTTATTTTACAAATGATGGCCAATCTTCTTATTGAACATAATTTTGTTTTTATTTTTAAATAAATTTTTGTAGTTTATTGTGTATTTCTAAACGATGTTTTCAAAATGATGCTTTAAGCCTTGGTTTTTCTATTGTATTTTGACAACGTAATTTTAGTATACTTTTTTTTTTACTTGTTTTGACTATGATGTCAGGGCATAATCGTATCGTCAGAAAAACATTAATCAATTACTTTTTGGCACTTGACGATTAATACGATTAATGCCACAAGGCAGAGTCCGCTCGCTGCTCCTCTCTGCTTTAAATAAGATGAACATTAAAAAAAAGTTGTGTAATTTATTTATCTATCAACACAATTTAGAATATGATGTATAGCCTGAAGTCTGTAATTTTGACACAATTTGGAACAGATTTTTATGAAGAACAAATCTTTCCCACTAAAATTGGTCATGTGACCAGGACATAAATGTGTCCAGAGACTCCAGGGGATTAAATGTCATATTAATCGTTATCGGCTAAATACCACAATTAATCGTGATTAATCTTATTGCCAATATTGCCCAACTCTACTACGTTGTTAATAAAAATAACATTTTTTTTGTTAAAATAATTTGGTAAAATAAACTTTTTCTTTCAACTATCTGTGTGTGTAAATGTGTTANATGCTTTAAGCCTTGGTTTTTCTATTGTATTTCGACAACGTAATTTTAGTATACTTTTTTTTTTTACGTGTTTTGACTATGATGTCAGGGCATAATTGTATCGTCAGAAAAACATTAATCGATTACTTTTTGGCATTTGATGATTAATACGATTAATGCCACAAGGCAGAGTCCGCTCGCTGCTCCTCTCTGCTTTAAATAAGATGAACATTAAAAAAGGTTCTGTAATCTATTTATCTATCAACACAATTTAGAATATGATGTACAGCCTGAAGTCTGTAATTTTGACACAATTTGGAACAGATTTTTATGAAGAACAAATCTTTCCCACTAAAATTGGTCATGTGACCAGGACATAAAGGTGTCCAGAGACTCCAGGGGATTAATCGTCATATTAATCGTTATCGGCTAAATACCACAATTAATCGTGATTAATCTTATTGCCAATATTGCCCAACCCTACTACGTTGTTAATAAAAATAACATTTTTTTTGTTAAAATAATTTGGTAAAATAAACTTTTTCTTTCAACTATCTGTGTGTGTAAATGTGTTATAGAGTACATGTAAATCAGGGCTACTCTAAAAAGAAAAACCTGTTAATCTGGTAAGTACTCAGCATTGTTTACTTAATTTGAGTAGCCCCATCTCTTTAAGTAGACTGTTTCAAGATGGCGTCGTGCTTAGCKTATCTTAGCCCCAGCCTKTTGATGGGGGTAGCCTCTGGTTCATGAGATATTTTGCTAACAGACAGATTGAATTCATGTATTCTGCTTCTGCCTGCGGCGATGAAAATAACGAGTAAGTGAAACTGACTTTGTTTCGGTGTTCCCTTCTTGGACCTCAGGCCCAGCTCCAGCTGCTCGATGCACCAGTCCAGCTGCCTGTTCAGCTGCTCCTCCGCGCTCTAAACCAGACTCACATCAGATCCAACCACGCTTCACATATAAGGTGAAATTCTTCACTAGGTGCAAACTGTCCACACTGACCTGCTTCTCGGCTCCATGACCTCCCTCAGCAGCTTTCTCCTTCACCTCAGCGTCGGACGCTTTCTTCTTTCCAGGTTTCGTCTTCTTCTTCGCTTGTTCAGGAGGACGGACACCCTCCTGTAGAAGAGCAGGCTTTTCTTCCTCTGTGTCCATGTTTATGTCATTAGGAGGTGCAGCGGGGGGGATCTGGAAGTTAAAGGCAAAGCCTGAGCCCTGGCCCGTGAAGGAGAGCCGGGCTGAGGAGGCCTCAGCGTGGTCCGCTGCTGGAGACGCTGTCCCCTGAGGCGCCGGAGGTCCGTCAGCGAGGAAGTTGAACCTGAAGGAGTTGTCGCTGCGAGACCAGAGGGGTTTATTCACTCCTGCTCCGACAGACGTCTTTGTTTCAGTGTTGATGTCTGATTAACGTCGAGACAGAAAACAAACAGATCAGTTTACTAACAAAAACATGCATCTATTGAAAAATACTAACTTTAATGTGAGGCATTTCACCAGTTCCACACTGTCTTTTTTATTTTTTACTTACATTTAGAAGCTATGGTGTTATTGCCATTTTGGTAAAAGCCTTTAAAACAAATTATGTATAACCTTATGCAATAATGTAGATGTTTTAGTGCTTAAATTATGTGTTAAATGTAAGTCTCAGCTACTAATACCCACCATGTCCAGCTCAATATCTGTAAAACTGACTATGTTAGGGATAATTTCTTCTGGCTGCATCTGTAAACAGAATAAATCTGAAAGCTATTCAGTTGTTGATGCACATCCAGTGGTTCCTTTCTGAAACTTTCATTAGGATCTGTCAAGTGCTTCATGAGATATTTTGAGAATAAAAAATGATTGCATATTTTAAAATTAAATTTTAAACAAATCAATCTGTCAAAGTTCAGATTTTGTGATTGAGATCAGTCTCAGCTACAACCACATTTCATGTCAACATATGTCCAAATTAATTGAGTTATAACCAGTTTGTGTTTTGTGGCGGCCATCTTTAGTTGGATTTGACATGAAAAGTTAATCAGTTGTAGATGTACATCCAGTGATGGCATTCTGAACATTTCAATAAAAGAGGTTCATAGGATATTTAACTAAATTATCATCGATAATTATTAAAATATTCCTTAATGACAAGCATGTACCTAAAAACAGCAGCCTTTGCTCACTCATGCTTCTTTTAGTCGTTGGTTTTTTAGCTGAAATTCGCTTCTTCTGATCAAATTTTATTTTAACTCGAACATTTCAAATATAAAAAGGCCCAGCAGAGCACGTTTTAACTCTTTACATTCTGGTTTCTCCCTGTTTCTACGCGATTTAACCAGAAAAACGTATGCAGCAAAACTCACCACCGGTGCCACTTGAAAATATGTCCGTCTGAAAATATTTCCCTAACACAAAATAGTTCCTCGCTCTGATCAGTCGGAACGAGTAGAATTACTTAAAAGTGTACCTAAATAAAACTCCATTAAAAGTATTTGGGGATTTTAAACAGAAAAACGTAAAGTTAATTCATAATTAACGTCTACTTTAAGCAGTTTTCTTCTATCTATCTATTGATTTAAAGAAAGCAAAAAGTGAGAACATTATAAAAAGTGTGAATCATGAAAGTGTTGTAAAAATATACTGATGTTGGAGGGGCACAGTGCATAAAGTTTATTTTTGCAGATCTGAAGGTTACAGTAAAGAGTTAAAGACAAGCACAAAGGCTGCTTTTTTTTTTTTCTTGTCTGGGATTGACAAAGTGGCGGGCTGCTCTCCTGCCTCTGCCAGCTTCCCTCCTTTTTAAACAAAAGGATCAGAACATGTGTCCTCCTGGTTGCATGAACTTTGAGCAAATCATAAAACCGTCAGGGGATTTTAACCCAAATCTTGTGAATCTAAATACGGACATTAAACGCTTTTAAAGTAAGTCGGGAAAACGTTGTTGTTTTATTTGATAGAATATATTATTCATCAAACCTCACACATAATGTAACTCATCCAAAACTGCTTAAAAATTGTTGCTTATGAGTATTTTTTTTAAAAAAAAAAAAGAACACGCAGTTGAGCATTATTATCAAAATATCCACGATTCCCTCTGAAACTGTTGTACCTCATGTGTGCGCGTGCGGTTAATCCTGATTGGGTCTTGTAGTTGTCAGTTTTGTCTCTGGACGAATCAGATTGATCCGTGGGCGGATCTCTGACGTCTGTTGTTTAGGCTATAAATACCACATCCTGTTTCCTCCCACAGTTAATCGGAAGACGGCAAGTCAGGAGGAGAAGCTTGTTTCCCGGAGAAATATAAACACAGACGGTAAGACATCCTTTACACACGAAAACTCACTCRTAAGCTCCGCGTTGTTCATTCATTTGATTTAGTTTAATCTTTTTCWTAAACGTTGAAGTCCCTGCTGGACCGGACCGGTGCTTATTGTAACAATTAAAACAACGCGCGCCGAAACCAGATCTGTTTTGTTATCCTTTTAAGACATTGTGTTTTACTGTTTATTATTATTACAGTACATTAAGTGTTACCTCCGTTATGTGTGTTTTTAATTCTTTTGTTCGTTATGTTCCCTTTTTATTTGTATATCAGCCTTATCCGTAGTTAGCTGGCGCCATTTTGCAACCGTCCATGCTAGTTTTTGATTTTCTAACAAGGCGACAAACGTGTGTATCCTCTGTAGCTTAATGGTGGCTGAGCTTATCGGCTATTTTTCTTTTTTTACACAAGACTCTTTCWTATACATTTTTACCCATTTTAGACAATTGTATCTTATGAAAATCGCCTTCATAAAAACATGGCGGTGGAGCTTCATTTGGTTTCGATTGTCTTCAAACTGGTTTTTGCTGCCACCGATGATGTGTTTTATTTTTAAGATGACTCATTTGGCATCGCAGCGGTTGTCTTGCGTCACCCTCAATCAGCAACACAAACACACAGTCGTGTTTTTATGTAACTTTAAAATCTATTTATATTACCCTCTTGTTGTTTTTTTCTTTTTATAGTAAAGAAATGGCTCGTACCAAGCAGACCGCTCGTAAATCCACTGGAGGAAAAGCACCCAGGAAGCAGCTGGCGACTAAAGCAGCCAGGAAAAGTGCGCCATCTACTGGTGGAGTGAAGAAGCCCCATAGATACAGGTCAGCAGGGCATTTACTGCACTGATATTAGTCTCAAGACTATTTGCATTTTCACAGCTCTTTTTAATTTATTTTTTTGTTTGTTGTCTTACAGGCCTGGAACTGTTGCTCTTCGTGAGATCCGTCGGTACCAGAAGTCCACCGAGCTGCTCATCAGGAAGCTGCCTTTTCAGCGCCTTGTGAGGGAAATCGCTCAGGATTTCAAGACTGATCTGCGTTTTCAGAGTGCAGCTATTGGTGCTCTCCAGGTCAGGTTTTGTCCTAAGCAGTTTCGTATTGTTTGTAAATCATAATGTCAGGGTAGGAGTTAACGTTTATCTCTCCCCTCCCCCCCATTTAGGAAGCCAGTGAGGCCTACCTGGTCGGACTGTTCGAGGACACCAACTTGTGTGCCATTCACGCAAAGAGGGTTACCATCATGCCCAAGGACATCCAGCTGGCCAGGCGAATTAGAGGAGAACGTGCATAGTTTCTCAGTTTTTTTTTTTAATTTTTATTTTATTTTTTTTTAATGGGATGGGTGGGTTGTCCAGTGAGGGTGGGATTTTTTTTTTTTTTTTGGTAAATCTTAAAAATACCAGCATGTGTGCCCATGTGATTTGTAGAACAAAGCATGTTTTTGTACTCATTTCTTTCACTTTTCTCATATTCCTGTAGAAGCATTAAGTCTTTCTTTCTTCTCAGGTTTGCAAATATTAGTACCTGCAAACCTGTGTTTGCATGCTATAGGATGTCCTGTGCTGTAAATAAACTTTCTGCTACCTCAAAAATATGGGTGGTGTTTTTCTTTTTAATTTTTTGTTTTACTCTGAGATAAAATGGCTTCAAAATAAAAGCCAGTAAATAAATGATAAGATATAAGAACCTTGTGTAAATGTGAGCAAAGGAAAGGTATTATCTTTTTGAAGTTTAAAATGTAAAAGCATTTAATTCCACATTACTGAAATACACAAGCTTCAATTCAAAATAAATTTTGTAGCAACACGGGTCAGTCACAAGAGTCTGGCAGGTTGGTGATATGTAAGGCCCTCACTTTTCCCTGTCTTTCTCTGCGTCTTTCTCTGGTAGCAGGCCAGGTAAGTGTTCAAACAGCTCCTTTTTCAGCATTTCATCAATTTCCGTCTCTTTTCTCAGAAAGCACCAGAGGATGAAGGCCACGCCAAATGTCATGATGGGGACAACTTTCCACCAGGGCCGCTCGTACTGGCTTCCCATGGAATGGTTGACTTTCCAGGTTCTGTGGCTGACCTTACTGGTGGAGAACTTGATGGGCTCATCCACAACTGCCTCTTCATCCTCTGRGGGGACTTTGGCCGACAGCAGAGGGCTCAGGACCACAGTCCGCACACTGTTGGCAAAAACAGAGCAGTTAACGAATAAGATTCACTTTCAATGTTGAGATTTGCAAATTAAGAGACCTTTCTGTGAAATGACTTGAATGCAAGTAAAGGAAACAAATGTCTATTTTGATAGCTGCACAATACGAGGACAACATTCTTGTCATTGAAAGTATCTTTCATTTAAGATGAAAAAGACTTCATTTCAAGCTTTATTAATAAGGACACAAACCTGTCCATATCCTAGGTAAAAAGTAAAAAATCTTTCTTCACGATGAAAAACTAGGACAAAATTCTTCTCAGACAACATTATCTTAAACGGTCAGTGTATAAGTCCTGCACCTGCTATTAAACATTTTAAACTGGACTGGCTGACATTGAACCATGGAGCCAGACTCACCTCACGGTCGTTGACGTGTTTTTAATAAATCTTCCTGGGCTCCTTATTCGTGTGAAGCTGCTGAAAACTTTCCCTGTTGTTCGCAACATTTTGAACAAAATGCGATYTTATTTCACACAGCAATCTTTATTTAATCCAACCAAGCGCTTTCGGTCATGTAACGCTCATTGTTGTGCAACTTCGAAATCCTTCCGGTGGAAGACAGACGGTGACGGTCTTTTCGGACCGTTCCGACAAAACGCAGGAAGGGGATTGGTTTTAAATTCACATTATTAATACTAATTTACATTATTATTATTATTATTATTATTTATATCTAAAGTTTAATTATATGCATAATTATTTGGCAAAACTATGATTTTCTACAGCAAAATTATTTTTATTTTTTACAGCCAACGCTGAGTTTTACGCCTGAATTTTAAAATCTTGAATGAAGTTTATCCATCCAATGAAATGCTGAGAATGAGATTTAATATTGACCATAACAACTGTAATTTTTTGTGAATCCAACATCGAAACGACGGATCATCTTTTTTTTTTTTATCAATGTATTTTTACACAAAAACTTTCTGGGAGMATTTTCTGGACTGGCTTTCTACAAAGATCCAGCTACAGGACACACTTACTCTGGACAACATAATATTTGGATTGAACTTGAAAGATGCACAATCAGACCATGTTTTAAACAATTTATTACTGATGTCAAAATATTTCATTCATTGCTGTAAATGGAAAAAGGTAAAGCCTATCTTTAATGTATTTAAAAAACATCTTGTTGAAAATTATTTAATTGCTTTAAAACGAATGAAATGTAAGAATGCAAAGTCTCTATGGACTGGATTTGAAAATTTTTGAAGACTTATGATTGTAGTACAACTGTGTGAATGTGTATGAATTTTTTTTATTTTGTTTATTTCTATTGTTTGCTCTGTTCTATCTTGTGCCTTGAAAATGTTATTTCTCCTATTTATTGTTGTTATATCCCTAAATGTTTGTACACTTGAATTTATATTACAAAAAAACCTGAAAAAAAAAAAAGAAAAAAAAGTTTTACGCATGAAGCAGTCTTCCAATCACGAAGCACGTACAGACAGTTGTCCAATCACGTTCCACCTGAGCGACAGAACTTCCGGGTTCCAATCCATCCATGCTTTCTTTACCTTTTCACGTTTTCCTGATCATTTCAAGTAGGTGAATGAACTTCTACCGTATAATATTTATAAAAGTAGCGTTTTATATCTTTTAGTAGTTAATTTGTGTTTCGTGGAAGTGGAATARATAGAGATATGTTAGTGTATTTGTTCGACAAAAAAAAGTTGGAAATACTAATAAATTTGAGCAGTTTTGTACATTAGTTTTTGGTTAACGCATTAAAAATGTGACTTTACCTTAGAGTTTTTAACATCTTTGTCAGCTTATTCAGTAGCACGATGTATTTTTTGTTTTATGTAGAATCGTCTCATGATGGTGAAGGACAAGTCTTTAAAACCAAATTCAAATCCATTAAAAAGGAACAAGAGCTCAAATGACTTTCCAGAGTTTGCAGAAGATCAAATGGAGACTAAAAGAAAAAATAAAAGGAAACATGTGACAAGTGAGGTGAGTTATACCTTTTTTCTTAAGAACTTCACTTAGGTTCACATTTCACCCCCAAAAAAATTTGCTAAATTAAACTTATTTAAAATAACATTTTTTTTAATTTTGTTCAGGAGGCTGTGGAACAGATTCATCTGGTAACAAAGTCAGCAGGTGATAAAAAGTGCAAAAAGAACAAGAGAGAGAAAACACGTTCAAAGCAAACTGAGGTGAGGATATATGTTAGCTGCTGAAAGTTGTTGCTCATTTACAAATTCAGGTAGGTGTCAAGTTTATAAACACAGATAAGAGTTATCAAYGTACATTAATGTTGGTAAAAATCCTTTTTCCTGGTGCTTTTTTTGACACCAGCCAGTTTTTTTAATTTTCAGGTTGGTTGAGGTTTGTTGAGTTTGTTTTATAACCGTGAGTTGGGAGTTCATAAGAGCTTAACTTAGAGCAGAGTTTTGGCGTGTTTGTGCAGCTGGTTTGTAGATAGATTTCCCTGAAGCCGACATGTACAAGTTAGACCATCTGTTCTTCTGGAGGAATATCTTGAGTTTTTTTCGAAATGTCTCCCCGAGGAAGCCATAGATGAGCGGGTTCAGGCAGCTGTTGGAGAAGGCCGCCAGCCTAACGGTGTGTCCCGTCAGGGGGTAATCCTGCCACAGGGTGCCGCCGTCCGAGCCGCCCCTCAGGAGGTGAACGCTTATTAAAAGGTTTTCCGGAAGCCAGCAGAGGAAGAAGACCAACACGGCGGCCGAGATCATCCGCAAGCGCTCTCTGCCGGCGAGGCCTCTGACTGCGCCGGAGCGCCTGCGCTATTCTCCAGTAGCACAGGCCGAGGACGCAGAGAGGCAGCAGGAACCCCTGCGTCACCCCCAGCCACTGAATCTGGGTCACGTTGGCGAAGCAAAAGCGCACTTCCCCCGCGTGCTGCGCCTGAGCTACGGCCAGGGGCAGCGGTGTGAGCGACCACGCCGCCGCCCAGACCAGGCAGCAGCTGAGGCGGGAGCGGACCATGCTGCGCCCGACGTAGTTGGTCAGCGCCGCGAAGCGGTCCAAACTCATCCAGGTCAAGAAGAAGACGCTGCTGTCCATGTTGACCTGCTGGAACAGGTTCATGAAGGTGCAGAGGCCGGCGTTGTTGTTGTAGTAGCTCTGCTTCAGGTTGAACACCTCGATCAGAGAGTCGGCCACCAGGATCAGGTCCGCCACGGCCAGGTTCACAAAGTACAGGTCGGGGGCTTTTAGGCGGCCCCCCTGGTCCAGATTGACCACGAGGATGAGGACGTCCCCAACAAGGCCGATAGGAAACAGGGCTACAGTGTAGAACCCAGAGAGGACGAGGCTGATGATGTAGTGCTGAGGGTTCGGTGAGGTCTGCAGGACCCCGGAGGTGACCACTTGTGTGGCGTTTAGTTGTACCGTGATGTTTCTGTAAGCTGCAGTCCTGTAGTCTGCGTACATGGTTGTGTCCATATTACACTCTTTACTCCACCTCAGAAAGTTTCTGCTACCTTTCCATAGTTTCCACAGAGTCCTTCTGCAGTCCGTGGTGTTTTTATTTTCTTTTTCTTGATGGACTGAGAAACTGCTGCTGCTGCTGTTGAAAAAAAAAGCTAAATAAATTAAAATAGCAACTTTAGACTTAAAATTAGCACAGAAAAAAAGTTTGCTTATACAGTTTGAATGAGTAATAGTACATTTTACAACAAAGAAAATACAGTCATGGAAAAAAAAAAATCGATCTTTTAGGTCAAGAACGTTCCTATTCAGAACAAACAAAAAAAGATCCATCATTTTCTGAGATGATTCACTTTAAACTTGGTGGTCAACAAGCGGACGCAACTCCTTCATGCTGTTTTTTTTATTAAAGCCTAAATATAAAGCTGAGCAGATGAGCACGTGCACATCACACCAGCTGTGAAGCACAACGCTGGAGATGATGTGAGCTTGTTTTGTAGCTGCAGGACCTGAGCCGACCACAAACTCCCCTGTAAACCAAAATAGTCTAGAATCAGTCGTCTCCTCTGCTGAAGCTAAACTGGGTCATGAAACAGCAACTCTACAATGGAATGGGTAAAAAAAAACAGACAATTAAGATCCTGTAATGAGGGCTGGGCGATATGGCTGAAAAATGAATATCAGTCTATCAGTAATTATTGATTTTTTTTTMTTTGTTTGTTTYTTTTTACTCATTTGAAGTGAGGACCAGGAGAAAATAGACTGATAAATATGGCCAAACCACTGATGTGACATTTTCCTCTTTATCCTTATTTTATTTCCTCTCGAGCTGTCGCACTCATTTTCATCTTTCACTCCTCATTCTCATTTTTAATCAGTTATGAGTAGGGCTGCCACGATTAATCGATGACTAATCGATTATTAAAATAATTGATGACTAATTTAATAATCGATTAG